GGCTGTCTGGTTACCGTGGTTTGGAAAGGAGGCATTTACTTTTAAAGTTTTAAAGTCATTACATGCCAAACATTAGAATGTTCAAGGGAGCCAAGCTGGCTAGACAACATGGAAAACAATCCATTTAATTTCCACCCCCGGGGACTCAGCCTCCGTACCTGACATATGGCATCTCCATCAACAAAGCACACACCACATGAAAAGCCTGCAGGTCAGTGTGAAAGCAGCGGGAGAGCCTGGAAGGGGGATTCAAAGGCCCCTGACTGCACCCCATCCTGGTTTGCCTCCATTCATCCCGGAACACGCCCCTCTCCTCCAGTTACTCCATAGTCTTAGGAAAAAAAAGGTTATCAGGTCAACAACCTTCCAGAGGTCATTTTAGCCTCCAGGGAGGCTCCCAGCCCAGTCCAGAGCAGTAAGTTCTCTAAAGTGCCTGTCCCCCCATCTCAATGACTTGTTAGGAATTACTTACTCTCCCGATCAGGAACACACACACTGGCAAGAAACAAACAGAAGACAAAGATTCGGGGCCTGCTTTTAAGGAGCGCCGTTGCTAGGGGAGACGACACCGAGAGGCGTAGTGAGATCAAACGTGTACACGGTAAGCACAGAGTAAGCTTAAAGCCGAAAGAACACGTAGGAGGGAAAGTCGAGGGTGATGTCAAGCACATGTGGACACACACATCGGACTAATGCAAACACAAGAGAGAATGTTAGCCTTGGCAGGGGCCTTCGATAATCCGCTCGCTAATAAACCAACAAAGTGTAGCCCAGAGAGGCGGAGCAGCCCACAGGGCCTCTGCTGGAGGGTACGGAGCCCCGTTTGCAGCCTTCAGTGGGCCCTCCCACACACACACTTACTCCTCTGTCCATCCTGCACCACGTGGGGTGGGTTTCCACTGGTGGAAATCCCATGCCAGCCCTGCCTGCAGAAACCCACCCTGGGGAGCAGGGGAGGCCTGGACCTTATGTGGGACCGGCTAGGCCCACATTTAACCTTCTTATGTAGCGCAGTGCCTAAGGCACTTGACTGCTAACCAGAAGGCTGGCGGTTCAAACCCACCAGCCACTCCTCGGAAGGAAGATGGGGCAATCTACTTCCGTAGTGATACTGCCTCGGAAACCCAAGGAGGGGTCGCTATGAGTCGGGTCCGACTCGACGGCATATAACAACAAGAACATGAGTATCCCATCTTTCAGGCAGAAGGACTCCCACAGACAAGAAACTCTGCTGAGGCTACAAAGTGTGTGTGTGGGCGCGTCCGCGGGGCGGCTCAAAAAAGCCCAAGCCGCCTTCTGCCCTGCAGGCGAAGGGTTACAGTTGCTCACTATTTTCGTTTGGGTTTGTGTCTCTTAACTCCCAGGCCCTCTATCTGCACCAGTAACTTTGCCCCTTCCACCTGCAGAACACAGACCGGCAAGACCTCCCTTCCTCTCGCCCTACCCCATGCCTCATCACTGATCCCTGGTTCAAGAAACACTGCATGGCTTCATGGGAGCCCCAAGACAGCCTATAATTATAATGCAGGCATTATTCTGACTTTAAGGAGTCCTGGTGGTACAGTGTGGTTAACACTCAGCTGCTACCTGAAAGGTCAGTAGTTCAAGACCCACAGCGGCTCCATGGGACAACGATGTGGTGACCTGTTCCCATAAAGCTCACAGCCTAGGAAATTCTGTGGGGTGATTCTCTGTCCTCCAGGGCGGCTGTGAGTCAACTTCATAGCACAGAAACCACCACCACCCTTCTTACTTCACTGGTGAAGTTAAATGACGCTCCCATGATACACCCCAAGTCACACTGCTAGTAGGTGACACCGGCACTTGAAAGAATTAAATTACCCAAGTGGACAAACTGAAGGAGCTCTGGGGTACAGTGCCTGAGGCATGTGACTGTTAGCCAGAAGACTGGTGGTTCACAGCCGCTCCACAGAAGGAGGACGAGGCCATCTACTTCCATCAAGACTACTGCCCTAGAAACCCAATGGGGGCCGCTATGGTCAGAATCAACTCAGTGGCACTGGGTCTGGCCTCTGGAAGTGGACAATTTGGTGGGGCTCTCCCCTGCTACTGCCCTGCACCTCTCCCTGGCCTCTGGCCCTCTTGGCAGCCAGCAAGGCCACCCCACGTTGTGCAGCCATGTCCCTTTAGCAGTGGCTCCCCTGTACCCCATCCCTGACTCGTAAGGACAAGCAGGCAACAACGGGGGCCCTTCTCTGAAGGTATGTTACACCCCATACCTTCTCAGGGAGAAAGCGGCCCTATATTCAGGCCCCCCACTTTAACTGGCTTGAAACGCAATCCCACCAATAAAAGGCTTCAAACATACGCCTCGTAGCCTCATCTCTTTTCCCTTTCTGAAAACTATATATACCCTTTCCCCCACCAAAATCACCAACACACTCAGAATTGGGGGGTACAGGGGGTGGCCCCCTCAGCCCATTCTCCACAGTCCTGGCTGGACTCTCTAAGACCCACACTTCCTGGTCCTCTCTGCTTCCCCCATCACTAGAAAAATAAGACCGGAATTGTATCTTAAGGACCAAGGCCCTGTACCATGGCTAAGCAGCAGCAAACCGCTGCCTCCCAAAGACAAAAGCTGAGTAACAGAAACTGGCATGAGCCCTGGCAGGGGCGCAGCCGCCGTGGAGGGGCGAGGCTTGCCTGGGCAACACTGCAGGGGCTCCCTGTGACGAGGCAGCTGTAACATCTAACCCACTCATCCGGGCATCCAACATCAAAGCCCAGGCAAAGGAGAGAATCTTTGTCTCTTCTTCTTTTCAAAACCATGAGAAACCCATTTTCCTCCCCTTTCTCACAGAAGGAAAAGGGACCTCTTACCACTCTTTACCCTGGAGTTGAGGGTCCTGTCGGCTACACTCTGTCTCCAACCTTCACTCCCTCCCACTCTGAACACCCAGCAAGGCGCTGAATATGCAATGAACAAGACCAAACAAGAAATGACGCCCACCAGTCAGATCACCATCAGCAAGAACTGTTCATCCCGGCACTGAGGGCTGGTCCTGGTCTCACCACTTCCTGGTGACCCGAGGGTCCAAAATGGGTAAAAACACAAATTCAGGCCACTTGCCCTATGACTGGGAGTTGCTGGGTGGCGCAAACGTTCACACACTTGGCTGCTACCCTGAAGGTTGGAGGTTCAAGTCTACCCAGGTACCTTGGAAGAAAGACCAGGTAACCAGAAAAATCAGCCATTAAAACCCCGCAGAGCGTTGCTCTGCTACGACACACAGGGTCACGGGATGGGACTGACTCAACAGCAACTGGCGGCTGGCTCTGTGGACAACGGCCAGGAGTCTCAAGGTGGTGCCAACAGACCAGCAGCTGACAACTAGCCAAAAGGTCGGTGGTTCAAATCCACTCAGAGGCCCCTCACACGACAAACCCGCCGATGTGCTTCCAAAAAGTCACAGCCTTGGAATCTCTACGTAGTGCAGTTCTAACCTGCAACACACGGGGCTGCCATGAGTCAAAGTCGACTCCACAGCAACTACAGACAACACTATCAAGGTTACCTGCCCAGCCTCCTAAGCACAACACAGCTTTAGTGCTCTGTTCCGTGTCCCATATCTTCTGTGAGGGGCAAAAAACGCACGATTCTCGTTAAAAGAATGGCCACAAACTAAGAAAGAAACTGAAGCAAAAGGTGGGAAAGTAAGTTCTTTACATGGTGAGAGAAAACTCAGACCTGTGATTCAGGAATAGAAGCCTCATTCCAAGGAGGAGGGGATATGCAGCAGCCCGGATCCGTAGGTACAGGGATCCGAGCAGGCTCTAGGCAGGTCCCTGAGATGGGTGTGCCAAGCCTGGAGTGTGCAGGGTCAGCCCCCAGGGATCTCGGGTGACATCCAAAACACCTGGGAGCAAAAGGTGCGCCTCGGAGCCAAGAGCCCCTTCATCTTGGTGAAGGGAAAGGGGTCTGGGAGCTCGCAGGTGGGAGGGAAACTCCCCAGTAGTTCAGGGTCTGGACTCCAGGCCAGAAAGAGGAGTCCAGGAGGACTTGCCTAAAAGGGGCTCGGCCTTTGGGAGGGAGCGGGAGGCCTGGGTCTGCAGGGCCCGCTCACCCTCACAAGCTTGCTTGCTGCAATGCTGCAGGTCCACCCTCCAGCCTTAATCCTGCAGGCCTGGCCTAAAGCCAGCTCCACTAATTACTTCAGACCCACCTCCCACCCCTCCCCAACCCCAGCAATTAGCCCAGAGTCTCTGCTTCCTGCTGTTCAGGGGTGGGGGCTGAAGGCTGAGGCCAGCTGCTCCCTCCCTCCCTCCCTCCCACTCAACGCCCCGGAAGTGCTGGTTTCAGAGGTGCCTGAAGCAACATGGTCTCTTCCTCTGGGGCTCAGGCTGGTGTGACAGCTAGTTAACAGAGGCCCAGATGCATCTGTGCCCCAGGCGTTGCTGGTGACACTGGCTGTGCAGATCCAAGGCATTCAGAACAGTCGGTCTTGCCCCTACACAATTCTGGAAAGCTCGGGTGTTTATAAAGAATTTTCTGCAAGCAGCCAAGGACTGAGAAAGCTTGCAGCTTTCAGGCATTGTTTGCTTATCTTACTTAATTAGCCTCCAGTCCTAATCTGTAAAATGGGGACAGAGAAATTTCATCCTTATCATGTTGGTGTAACACCTGAAAAAGACAAGGCTATATACTACCCAGCTCATAGTAAAGCAAACCCAAACCCACTGCCAGCGAGTCAATCCCCACTTACAGTGACCCTACAGGACACAGAACTACCCCAGAGGGTTTCCAAAGCTGGAAATCTTATGGAAGCAGACGGCCACATCTTTCTTCTGCGAAACGGCTGGCAGGTTCAAAACTCTGACCTTAATGGTTAGCAGCCAACCGCCTCAGCCACTGCACCACCTGAGCTCCCTGGCTTGCAGTAGGCTCTCAATAAAGGTTAGGCTCCTTCCTTTCATCTTCCCTCAACCCTCTGATTCAGATACGGGGCTGAGTTTCTGGTTGGTGTTCAATATGCCTCAACGGCACTTTTCCTAAAAACAAAAAGGAGGCTAAAAAAGAAAGGAAATCAAGTTCAACTGGCTGTGCCTGCAGGAAGAAGTCTGCCTCTTGACGGTTTGGGGAATGCCGCAGAGCACCATGGAATCCTCAGCTCCTGTTTACTCCCTCCCAGGCCAACAGCTAGACTGAGCTTCAGGGCAAACACCAGGGGCCAGGGGGACAGCACCAGGCACAGGTCAAGGGTGGAAACAGGCATTCCAGTGCCCCTGAAAGGAGCCTGGTGACCCATCAGTTAAGAGCGTGGCTGCAAAGCGGAAGGCTGGGGTTTGAACCTACCCAGAGGCTCTGCGGAAGAAAGACCTGGTGATCTGCTCCCACAAAGACTCAAACAAACCAACAGAAAACCCACTGCTGTCAAGTTAATTCTGACTCAGAGACTAAGGACAGGGTAGAACTGCACCCATACGGTTTCCAAGACTGCCACATCTTTCCCTTATGCAGTGGCTATGGGGTGCGAACCACCGACTTTCCAGTTAGCAGCCAAGTGCTTTAACCACTGAGCCAGCAGGCTCCTTTCCCATGATGATCACAGACTAGGAAACCCCACAGGGCGGTTCTACGCTCCGTCCCCCGTGGTCCCTGTGAGTCACAGCAGCTCGGCGGCACCCACTTACACGCCAACCCAGAAACCCAGGGTCCAAGACCGAGCTCAGCCACCCCCCCAGAAAGCTCTCTGTGATCCTTGCCCCACCCCAGGCCAGGAGGTCCTGCTGTGATATCCCTGGGTCCCATGCACACATGGGAGTTGCAAACGGTTGGTTTACCTGGTCTCCCTCCCACCCCATCAGGAGTGAGCTTCTTGCACAGAAAAACAAAAAAAAGAGAAACACAAGAAAAGGCAAACTGGGCATCGCCAGCCAGACACACCCATGCCTCGGGGCCACCACAGCACCTTCCTCCCATATTTGATCATTCTATTCCAGAGAGGGGAGCTCTGGTGGCACAGTGCCTAAGGCATTTACTGCTACCAGAAGGCTGGTGGTTCAAACCTACCAGCCATGCCTCGGAAACCCAAGGAGGGGTCAGGTCGCTATGAGTCTAATCAACTCCATGGCAGAGGGAATGGGGGATGGGAAGTGAGAGGAAGGAAAGGAAGGGCCCCCAGAGACCAGACCACTGCCCTCCTCAGGCTCACGTTGGTTTTCGCAGCCAGTGTGCCACCATGAGTCACGTCCACCAGCAGATGAAGGGCTCCCACTGGTGATCCCAGGACAAGGAGCCCAGCGGCCTCTCTGATGCATCCCTCCAGGGCCGGGGGGCCGTTCTCAGCCAGCCGCTGCCCATCATCTGCCCGTCATGGTGCTGTGGACTCTAACTACTCCAATAATTGCTCTGCGGGCAGTCCTGCCGGACAGATTCCAGAGCGGCACTCGGTGAGTCTCCAACACAAAGCGCCCAGACACATGGTGGAAATCACTGCAGAGCTTCACGGGCGTGGCAAACCCGCTGCCGGCGATTCCAACACAGAGAGATGCTCTGGGCAGCCCTTACCAAAGCGGCTGCCACCTATTTCTCCCGCGGGGCAGTCAATGGGTCGGCTGACAGCCGAGTGCTTAACCAGGGGGAGACCCAGAAGCCGTCCGCACCCGCGGGCAATACAGATGCAGTGACTGAACAAACACGCTCACCGTGGGTAGAGGGCAGAAACGAGCAACTCACCAAAGGCAACCAAGACACCCGTAGACAAGGCAACGCGCAACTAGGAGCAAAAGCCCTCAAAGCAGTCGTGCCCTTTGACCTGGAAATTCCACTCCAGGAACTCACCCCAAGGAAACACAAGTATTCATTGAAAGACTGATGCACTAAGAAAGTTCACGGTGGTATTATTCCTAATTCTGAGAAATTATCAGTGGTGGTTAGGTAGCCACGTGATGAAACACCATGTAGACACCAAAATTCTAGTAGGAAAGGGTAATTAATGACATGGGAAAATGCTCACCTCACAGTAAATAAAAAAAGGCTAGAAAACAGTATGAATGATATGATCCACACTGTGACATACCTAACACACACACCCCGTAATACTAACAGATACCTCATTTAATACTAAGACACCCAACAACACTAACAGACACCCCACAAGACTAACAGCCCATAATATTAACAATGGCTATCACTAGGTGGTGAGATACTGGCAAACTTAATTTTCTTTATATTTCTCAGCATGTAAGCAGAAAATATTTTGAGAATCAAGAAAAATATTATTTTAAATGTCTTCAGAGCATAGGTAAACCCACTGCCATGGATCCAACTCTGACTCACAGTGACCCTTCAGGACAGAACAGAACTGCCCCATAGAATTTCTAAGGCTGAAATCTTCACAGAAACAAACTGCCCTATCTTTCACCCACGGAGCGGCTGGTAGGTTCGAACTGCCAACCTTTTGGTTAGCAGCCAAATGCCTTAACCACTACGCCCCCCAAGCTCCTTCAGAACACAGAAATAAGCTATAAAATCGACAACATCCACCTCACAGCCCCTCCTCTTTAATCCACTTTCACAGTCAAAATGGATGACGTAATTTCTCCTCAGCAAACGCAGCCCAGTGGATCACTACTCATAACCAAACTCCACTCGTACCTGCAGACGTGGCCTGACGGACCCTGAGCTCCCCTGAACACTGTCACTACCCATCAAAGCCAATAACTGGCTGAGGAAGTTTACCGTCACTAAAGCCTCCAGCCCACAGACGTGAAACAGAGCTGGAAGCGTTTAATGCACTGCTGCCCCCAACCACAGTCACGGTTGACGAAAGTCGTTTTTAAAACTGACTGCACATTTCTAAAGATAATTCTAATTATGAGAGTCAGCCAGTGCTTATCTACCACCACTGCGTCTACAGACAACAGACCAACGCAGATGGATGCCAAAAACAGTGGGGGAAGTCAGACAGTGAGCTACCATTCATGCAGCTGTTGTCAATGGTCACACAAGGCACTTCACGGACACAGGGGCTGCTCCGAGGGCTCAAACATCCGACATCTATGAGGATGGTCGGACCAGTCAGTGTCTCCTTTTGCTATCCACAAGGTCACTATGAGTCAGAGCAGACTGGACAGCAGCGAGCAGGGTGTGTGTGGGTGTGTGTGGGTGTGTGGGTGTGTTTGGAAAGAGTACAAAACTGTGAACCAGAAACCATCAAATCATAGCAGTGGTTACACCAGGGAGGGGGGGAAGGGCAGAGACATTCTGGGGACTTCTAGCTTAACAGGAAAAAATTATTCCCCCCGCCCCCCCCCCAAAAGTGTGCAGCAAGATAGAAAAAATTCACATGTTCATGTTCATTTTGAACAGTGAGGACATGGAGGCTTGTTTTATTTTTAATTTTTCAAAGTAATAACGCGGAAAGAAACGAGATAAGGCAAACTTGGGCTGTATTGACTCTGTGGTTTCATTTCAGATCAAGAACATCGAACATCTGGGGCCCATTCTGGGCTTCTGACCGAGTCAAGAGATCAAAGGTGAGAAGGGCCGAGTTCAAGGAGCTCTTAAAACGTTCTCAGCTGATCTTAAACTATAAACCTTGGTTGTCTCAGGTCATCAGACTGTGGACTTTCAGGACCACCCAGACCCACCCCTTCACCCGGCAGATGAGAAGCGGAAGCCCTAATGGGAGGGGAGAGACTTAAAGCAACTTGCAAACACTTCCCGTCTCAAAGCTAGTCGTGTAGGCCAGCCCCTGACTTATCCATTCTCTGTTAAGTCCTACATCCATCTAAGGATCCTGACTTCAGGGTAGACAGCCATACGTGGGAGTCCTTAGAGGTGGTGTACAGTTAAGCATCTGCTGCTAACCAAAAGGCTGAATGCTCAAATCCACCAAGAGGCCCCTGGGAAGACAGGGCTGGTGATCTCCTGAGAAACCAGCCATTGAAACCTTCATGGAACTCAGTTCTACCCCGACACACATGAAGTCACCGTGAGTCAGAACTGATCCGAGAGCAACTGGCTTTTTGGTTTTAACAACATGTGAACTCAAGGGCAAAGACGTACTTCAACACATACCACAATGCGCAGGGTCACTGTCTGAAGAGGGTCCCCGAAGCGTGCTGCCAAGAAACCTCAGAAACTTCACGTGATGATTATGCTGCATCTGCTGGCGAAGGAGCAAGACCACAGATGCCCAGGACTGGCAACAACAGTGGGACACACTGCACACCCCCAAGGATAAACACGCTTCAGCAATGTGTGGCCCTGGGGATGTCCACTATATTAGCCTCCACACTGGCTGCACCACGAAATGAACACACATTTAGAATCCTGACCAAAAGGGGGGAGACGCAGAACAGAAATCAAGTTCTCATGGACTCAAGACTTTCTGGAGCCATGGAGGGTGCATGAACCCCTGAAACTACTGCCCTGATATAAACTTTTGAGCCTTAAGCCAAAAATATCCTCTAAAGTCTTCTTAAAATCGAATAGTTCAGTTTAACTGATAAAAAAAGGTCTGCCTTGAGCATTATGGTCTTTTAAGAACTATCTAAATAGGGTCAAGCTGACAACAGCAACTGAAAAGGTCAGACAGGAACTCAGGGGGCAGTGAGTTTCTGTTAATGAGGGAGGGACAACTCAGAAAGGGAGGGTGAGAATGTCTGTACAACTCCAAGAGTGGCATCGGTGTCTCTAGACTGAACACGGAGAAACTGTTGAGCTGGGGTGTACGTTTGGCTGGGTAAATTCTCAACAAAAAAATAAAGAAAACTGCAGAGTAGAGATCTTCATTGACACACATGGGGTCGTCATACACACATACATACCTACATACACACAAAAACTATACATACACACACACGCACACGATACACAGCCACACACATATAATAATAGACCACATGTTTTTTTCTTTCTTCTCTGAATTTTCAAAAACAAAAACAGAAGTAAAATCCCCGGATTTTAAAGGGCTGACTTAAGGACAATTTCTACTTTGCCCTTTAATGCCCTCACTTTGAAACTACTGAACCAACCCTTCCTCACAACATCACACTCGCCTTCTCTCGCTGCATGTACAGACTTTAACCATGGCAAAGCCTTCGCGTTTCTCTTGCCCTAAAGTCAGGCTACGTGAGAACTGTGTGCACCTGTTCCAACGTGCCTACAAATTCAACTTAAAGGCGACTCAGAACAGGGGACTGCTGTAGTAACAAAGTGGGTAAGCACCGAGAAAGGAGCTCTCTCTCAAGCAGTCCCACCGTTTGTCAAAGAGAGACTACACGGATTCCGAAAGCGCTAACGAGGCTGGTCTCCACCCTACCAAGCAACAGCGAGGTCAACTGCACGGCATCGGAGGGCTGAGGTCTCCAGGGCAACGGGAGCGAAAATGGAGATGGGCACTGTTAGCCTCGGCTGGAGCCAGAGAGGTGAGGGCACCGGACGCCACCGAGAGGGTGTCCCCTGCGTTAGGGAAGTCCCCTTTACGCCAGCCAATCCGCTTTTTCCCAAGACCTACATTAGCACCTGTTTTCACTAACAGAAATCTGAAGAGGATGTTCGATTTCCACGAAGAGAAGGCACAAAGCACAATTAGGATTCGACGTTTGTCTCGCAGCGAGTCAGCCGTTAAAGAGGCAGCGGCAGCCGGGGCAGGGAGAGGTCCCCAGCTCCTTCCCCGGGAGCTGCACCCAGAAGCTCAGCCTCAAGCCGCTGCAGCTGGAACTGTGCCGGGGGATATGTATATAAATAACTAAAGGTGCTTTTTAGGTTTTATGTGCTATTTGGTATGTTTGGGTAGGTTCTTTTTCGGGTCTGGGCACACTCAAAAATTCCTCCCACGTAAATTAATGGTAATTGCACCTTCGTTTTAAGCCATTTCGGCTTCTGAAAGGTTTTGGAGGAATGCTCTGCTTTCAGACTGCAGTGGAAACCTCTGTTTCGTATAAATGAAATCACACGTCGAAAAAAAATGAACATGCATTTAATGCAAATATGCTAGGTTCTGAGTGTAAAAACTGAACCATTATAAAAATCAAAGGGTTCTATTTGGGGGGGGGGGAAATTCAGAGGGAAAAGAGCGTGGCTGTTGAATGAGTAAAACAAGAATCATACAACACTGAGCTCAAAACCTGACCAGCCATCCACCCAAACCTCAATTTAAAAAAAGCACTTGACCAGCCAGGAGGCGTGAGGCACATGGGTCTGGTCCAGGCACACCTGTCCTCCAGGCCCCTCAGCAGATGTTCTGTCTTGGGGGCTTTGTCTCTACACAGCTGGAGCCCCTGCTTTGGCTCTTTAAGATTGTTGTTCTTTAAGATACAGACACTCGCCAAGGCTCTGCTTCTGGCTTCCTCTGCCCCTTCCCGGCAACCACTCATCGACAGCCCTGCTCCCTCTGGTCACCTTCTCATGGTATCATCCCCGTCCCCTCCATGGTGGCTGCCAGAGCCCTGCCTTCCTGTCCCAGGGAAGGTGAGGTGGGTCTCTGCGGGAGGGACCCCCGGGAGAAATCCTGAGTGTACACTGCCCTGGGAGACTTAGCTCCTCTCAACACGAGAAAAGCGCTAACCCAGTGGTTCTCAAGATCACGTGTGCATCAGAATCCCAGGGAGGGCTTGTTACAAACGCAGGCTGCTGGGTCCCGCCCAGTTGGTCTGGGTAGGAGCCTCAGAATCTGCATTTCTAACAAGGTGATGCTGATGTTGACCTGGGGACCATACTTTGAGAGCGACTGCTCTAGCCCTCAGTCCTGGCAGGCTGACGATCAGACTCCCAACAGCTGGGGCACTGGATAAAATGCAGCTTCCAGGGCCCCGTCCCTGACGACGCCACCACAGCAGGTCAGAGAGCGAGGACCTGACGGTCAGAAACGCCCCCACTCAAGATCAAATCCTGGCCACACTGGTTTGTACCCACCTCAGTCCTCTGCCCCAGGAAAAGGCCAAGGGACCCGTGTCTCCACAGGTTTTCAAAAGGCAAAGCTTGAGCCTGAAACAAGTCCATGCTACTCAAGAAAAGCATCCATCCTTCCAGATCTCTTGGAAAACAAGATCCAGTACAAGATTTTGTGAGCTTGATGTCTCCACTGAAAGGCCACAGACTAGGGCAAGGCCCACTCACTGAGGGTGATGACCACTCGCTGGCTGGCCAGGCCAGTCAGAGTAGCAGCAATACTCGTCTGGCTTTAGCTGAAGCCCTCGCAACCTGAAGGGTTACTTTCAAAGGGGGATGGCAGTGGGCAGCAGTTCTTCTGGCAAACCTTTTTTTTTTTTTTTAATTTTGATTTGGGTGGAAGTTTACAGAGCAAATTCACTTTCCATACAGCAGTTCACATACACTTTGTCTCATGATATTGACTGCAATTTCCCACAATGCAACAGCTCTCTTCCTACTTCCTCCCCCCATAGTTACCTCTTCCCTGTGTCTTTCCCTCCATGCACTCCTGTCCCCTGAGCTGTCTCCCTGTACATTCACAGCCTTTCTATTCTCCCATGATTGCTCTCTCCAAGGAATGTACCTACCTAATGTAAATGTTCAGCTCATATGCCTGTCTTTTGTTTAGCTAGAAGCCATAGGAGTGGGTTCAATTCCAGACCTGAAGGGCAGCTAGGGGCCATAGTCTCAGGGGTTCCACCAGTCTCTATCAGACCAGCAAACCTGGTCCCCCCACCTATTTTTTTTTTCATGATTTTGAGTTTTGTTCCACATTGTTCTCTCACTATCCAGGATCTCCTACATAGATCCCCCTCCGAGTGGTTGACAGTGGTAGCCGGACACCATCTAGTTCTTCTGGTCTCATAGTTGTATAGGCTGAGGATCACATGGTGTACCAGTCGCTTGGACTAATTGTCTCCATGCATCTTTGGTTTTCTTCATTTGTCTTTGCTCTGGATGAGGAGAGACCCATCGCTGTATCCAGATGGCTGCTTGCAAGCTATTATGATTCCGGTCTCCCCGAAGCAGGATGTGGAACAATGTTTTTGTGTATATTATTGGCAAACATTCTTAAATGCCCCTTTACAATAGTAACCAATTATGTTTACACTGTAACATTAGATGGGAGGGAAAAAAGGCAGGATATGCAATTGTACATATGGCATGACTGCAACCCCATGAAACAAAAAAGTATTCATTCAAGGACTGGAAGGAAACATAAAAACCTTAATGGTGATTGTCCCCTGGTGGTGGGATTCTGGTGGGTGGTTCTTTTTTCTACTTGTTTGTTTTCCAAGCTGTTTATAAAGAGCACGTATTACTCACATGACAAAAATTTAACTTTACTTACAAAGAAATCTGAAGGAAAATTAAAGACCCAGCAGAACACTGCATGGTTAATGTGGGTCAGCCCTCAATGCCAGCAGCTCTGCCAGCTTTCTCCACACCAGCAAGATGGAGGCAATGGCCACTCGCAGCTCTCAGTAAGTGCTTTCAATAAACTTTGGCTGGCCATTAACTAGGACCAGGCTTCAGGCACCACAGCCCTGGCCCCGGAGAGCTGACACTGCAGACCAGGAGAACAAGATCAGGGTCCTCTTATCCACCCTGAAGCTTCTCTGGCCCTCGAGTCTCTGGGATGGGCATCTTCTCCTTTGTGTGATTATCATCCACCTTCTGGACTCTAAATAGTCAGAGCAGCAAAGCCTCCTCTACTGACACAGTCCCATGCATTTGTCAAGCCCCTTGTGTCCGGTCTGGACCTCGACTCCCAGAACGTGCTGGTCACCAGCTGCGTGGGTCCTACCATGACCAGCAAGAACAGGGGACAGCATATACACAGCCCAACAGCACACACAACCCCGACTGTGCTCCACCACTCAG